ACAAAGTATCCACTCATCTTTGATTTTCTAATTGCTTCTATATCGTAATTTCATAGTCAAATAAGAACCATCCAGTAAATCTATTGAATAATGTCTCGATTCGAGAGAATAACAAATACCTAAGGCAGATCCTAAAGCATTAACTTATTTCGGGGTTCACACTTTTCATAAATCACTTAATCTGATCGTTTGTGGTTCATGTCATCTGAACCCCTTACTGCCTTGTAAAATAGTTTCTATTATCCTATATAAACAGACCGACTATGTTCCTTTCCGGCAATCAACTGTGGATTATCACTCAATAAAATTGCAGTGATTACATCACAGCCATTAATCCTGCAATGTGGATAGCATCATGCATCATTCCCAAAGTGCACTTCCTGTCCGTGTTTACCATGATACAATCCACAATGACACAAGCGGAAAAAAACCTCAAAATAGAAAAGAACTACTTCAGTGATCTTCGCTGTACATATTTGAAGTGATTTCAAGGCTGTAGTTCCTTGTCAGAGTTCAATTGATGGCTGTTTGTGGAATAATCTAAACCTCCTCAATAAAAGTACCGTCTTGTAATCACTTCAAATTATCCATTATTCTCCATACAAACAATTCTAGTCTATTATTAATGTAACATCGGTTTAACTCTTTAATTACAGGTGATCTAATATGAAATGCCTTCAGGAAAGCATTAAGTTATACAAACCAACAGCAGCAATTTTACGTTTATATAGTGCCTTTCACACCGGAAGGATGTGAGGAGGGGGAAGTGGGTTTGGTGGTGGAGGGGGAGAGAGGTGACCAAATCCAAGAAAGATTTTAAGGAAAGCTTTATAGGTGGGGAAGGTGAGACAGAAAAGTGGAGGGGATTGTAGTGCTACTCTCATTTAATGCATAAAGTTTCATCATTTTGCAAAAAAAAACACATATAAATCTGATCCTGCTGAATACCAACTTTGACAAACTGATCTACATCAAATATTAGTCTCTTAGCTGAAAGTAAACTTGCAACTAATTTCACACTCCCTGGTAATTGTAATTGTATTAAGAGTTTGTTTAAGATATGAAGGTCCAGTGGATGGGTTATATCTATTTCTAAACACTATACACGCACCATGAGCAGGAAAATGAATTAATTCTGAATTATATGGGAAACAAACAGTCCAATGCTTCATAATGCTGCCAAAATGTTCAACAGACAGTTATTGAAATAAATAATTGCACTGCTTGCTGAATGTTGCAAAATAAATGCCAGTGCATAATGGATTTAAAACTATTATTAAGATAACATAATAATCCTTACATTTGATATAGCGCCTTTTCACATCTTCGAAACATCTCAAAGCGCTTCACAGAATATACTGGAAAGTGAATTGAGTGTATAGTTTATGGGCGAAACGTGTCAGCCAATTGTGCACAGCAGTGTCTCACAAACAATCATGGATTGAGAAACTATTTTTTGAAGGAATTAATAACCCCAGAAAAGTGATTCCCCCAATCGACTAACAACCGGATTCCTACTTACTCCTAGGTAAACAGAGGCATGTGGAGTAAGCCAAAAGTTTCACCCTGCCTGGAATCAAACCCAGGTCTCTCACTTGCAAGGAGAGTACTCTAACCACTGAGCTACAGACTCCATGTTTAATGAAGAGATGAGTTTAAAATAGCTTTCACTCTTAGGTCTTCGTAGAGTTCATCATAGTTTCCACATTTGGGTTTATTTTGATTTGATGCTCTACCATTCATTACCAAATTGGAACACTACTTCATTCTTACTGGTATTATATGAAAAACATACATTGGAAGCTGAAAGGGAAAAGAAGATCTCAAGTTAATGTGGCCATTTTAGTTTAAAAAATTAGTGATTGACTGTACAAAACAAGGAATTGGAGCTGATGTAGAACATATAAAGTTTCAACCAGGGTTCAATAAGAAAGAAGGGAAAAGTGGAATTGCAAGAAAAATGATGATAAGTAGTTTTAATAATAATAATAAGTTTTACTTTATTTTCCAAATTGTTTGCCTGTCAATTAAACAGTATCTTTGAATGGGACTGGGTTATTTTAATTTATATCCACTACATTTGTACAAAATTGAGAAAATTTATCTTCAGCATATATATTAGGTTTCACTACCATTTATCTTCCTCAGATAGGTTTCGTTTTGAAGTGTTTTCATATATAATCTTTATTATCCTTCCCATTTATTGACTGTGATTGTTAATATCTTTTTAAAAATATATTATTCATGCTCCTGTCTTTTTGTCAAGTGGAGAAACACTTGACAACATCAATGGAATCTTCATTGGAAATACATTTTTAAAACAATTTGCATTTGAAATGGTTTCGTTTTCTTACACGTGCACATCGCAAAAATCAATCATTCTATTTTGGAGAACAGAGGACCCCAAGATACTGGTTCATCCATTATTATCTAGTTACAGTGGAATGGCATTGGCAAAGCCTAGAGATCAACTTGCTGAACCACAGTAGGTAGTGGTTGCCTAGTAGTGGTGGACAGCAGAGCGTAAGGGTTGCAGAAGGAGGTAGAGAGACAATGGAACCTTATAGAGAAAAATGAACTAACTGAACCAATCTAACATTTCATTAGCTTGCGCCTCAAAGATATCAAAGGAGATTGTCAACCTGCTGAAAATCTAAAAGACAAAGCAAGCTGTAGTGTTTCATTACACCTTGACAAAATCCACTGCTACACGTATGTGGGATAGTAATAGTGTAAAATGAGGGTCTTATTTAGGATTTTAGCAAAGCAGCCAAAGTGTAAAGCCTTTAGAGCAAAATGGTTGACTTTAAGCAGATGGTATTTTTCTCTTTGGCCTCTCTCCCCCTGCCCCCGCCCTTTGGCTGGCTGCAGAAATCACAATTAGCTAGCTCACAAACATTGCAAATTAGAACCCAACACGCCAATATTTCCAGTTGCTATGGTAGAGTTTCATCAAACATTCTTAAAATACAATAAACATCGACAGTCCAATAAGAAAATAAAACTGAACTCCCAGTGAAATATGGATTTTTGTCCCACTCTTACAGTCGACAATAATTATGTCCCATCTTTGATGCTCAAAAGTCATAGTCACTGCTACTCCTTTAAATCAAGATGTTTTTTGGGGGGCTGGATATCTTTTATTGCTCATAATAGTTGCAAAATATTATAGATTATTGCTTATGGTTCCAGTATACACCAATGTCCATTAATTAGGAGGTGGAAAAGGATAAGAATTTTTTTGTGATTATTGATCATACACTTCAGTTACTAATCAATGTGAACCTGCTGTCAATAAAGATAGTCAAATACTTGGTTAGATCTTGACAGCATTTGACTATAAATCGAAATAAGTTATTCTAACCTGAATGAATATGAATGTATGAATCACTAAATGAAGCTACATTTGGAATATACCTTTACGAAGGGGATAATTAACAACTGGAGCGGGTTACCGGGAAGGGTAGATGAGTCACTAATTAAACAGAAACTGCTTGATGCTGTAATAACAACAACTTGCATTTCTATAGCTCCCCCTCATGCAAGGTAGTGTCCCAGAGCGCTTGACAGTGACGCAGCATGAAGCCAAGACGGATAGTTGGGTGGGTGTTGGAAAGACAAGATCAAATGATCATTTGAACCTCTCTTGTGACCCTGTGAAGTTTTGGAGCTGAATTTTATTTTAGAAGAAAGGTTGGGGGTGGGAGGGCGGTCAGGTAAAGAGAAGAAGAAGATCCAGGTCTTTTAAAATGGTATTGAAACCATGACAAAGATGCAGTCAGGTTATTTGGCGTAAACTGTAGGAACAAAAACCCTTGAAACATGTAGGCTTGATGGCCTTTTCCGTCCTGTGTTTTTCAATCTTGTTAAACGTTATGAATTAACTATCATGACATGCAATTCTGTAATACCAATAGTAACGACATGTTTAAAGCTGGAGGCTGGCTGTTTTAAATTGGTTAATGTTAGTACTGTAATATTCAATTCTCCTATACATAAAACGTTGAATTCTATTTGATTTTATGGTTGCGTCGACTTCACTCCCACTTTTGAAAACATGTATATCTCTACTCCTAGGTCTCTCTCTGCTTCTCCACTCCAATGTGAACATTACAATTTGGGGATACATTTCCTTCCTGTGTTATTCTTTCCGAAATACACTATTTTGAGGAGAGGTTGAAAATTGGAGGGAAAAAAATGGTAGGACCTTATAGGAAGAGGGAAAATAAGCAGGCCAAATTCCCATATAATACGCTTAATTTTTGACCTGGTGGTGGAGCTTCATTCAATCACCCCTGTTACGCTTTAGAACATTCAGTTGGAAACAGTCTGGAAGCAGACGTTTTGAATAGAACTTGTCACCATGTCAACTGTGTAGGTCAACTCCAGCAAAATTATGAATGTGGACATTGGATCGCAAGGTATCATCGCCTATTCCTGGTGTAACTGCAACAGAGTGAACAGAACTTCAAGATCAAGTTGTGCTCAAAATGTGCACCTCCAGGATTCCTTTAATCCTCAGTTTTGAAAAAAAGAAACAGACTCATATTGTGTATCCAAAGTGTGAGTTTTATCGCCCTTTATAATATTGGTCTGTCTAAAATTTCAGGAGTATACCCTTCCCCTTTAAGGATCACTCTGATGTTAGCAAAAGGATGGTACAGGTCAACAATAAGCCCATTGAAAACTTTACAACTATTCAGATGTGCTTACATTCAGTGCTTACATTCAGACCTTTCAGTCTGCAAATGTCAGGAGTGAAACTGCATCATTTTTAGCTCTTGTGCCAAGAAATATTCAATCCAGTGCCAAAACCAACAGAACCACTTGGAACAGTTAAATAACCTTATCGTTCCTAAATACCCCATGTTATGTGCTGTGTCTCAAGTTTTCATAGGATAAAATGCTCCATAATGCTGGGGTCAATAAAGAAGTAATGTAAGTCACAATTATATAAAGTCAAAACATTGTTACACGACCACTACTCGCCTGTAACAGACCTTGTTGAAAAGTGGGATGGTGAAAGGCAGGGAGAGGAAGTTTTTCCGTTGTCCAAGGTTCAGAGAAATAGGCCTGAAGCCAGGTCATACACTGTTTCAGTGGTGCTGTCATTTCCTCTTGGCTTTCACATACCTCACAAGTAAATGAGGCCACTCTTGTCCTGCAGAATTAAGTGATAACATTTGTTCAGTGAGTTTGGCATTCGTGAACTTCGAAATAGTTTCAACTGCATGGAAACAATCTTTTGGAACTTTTCAATTTGACAACTGAATCTGAAGAGCAGTCTTCAAAATTGCAGATGAATAATAAATTCCCTAATGATTAAAAAAACAATTACAACATACTGAGCATTCTGGTGAAAATTTATTCAAATGCTTGCTGCCTTATATTTTCTCTCATTTTTTTCTGACAATGAATCCTGTGAGATTTGAATGCAATTCGTAATTTATGAAGACCAACTTACAATACTTGACTGCTGATTAATATGAAACTTTTGTTTCTGTACTGTTACCGCACTGGTTACATTCAATGTGCCAAGTTACTGGTTCAATAAGAGACAATTATTTATACATAGCTCTTGAAAACCACAATGCATCATTCACATAAATTTACTTCCAAGTAAAATCCAAGAATTAACATTAACACACTGTGAGCATTTTTGAATTAAACTGTAGAAACTGTAAATCTGGTTGGATATTTGCTTTGCTGCTATATTTTTGTTTACCGAGCTTACAAATATGATGAAATTGCTCAACTGAAATATGCAGCCTAAAAATGTTACAAATTGCTTTAGTTCAGTTATAGATACTTACAGAAAAAAGCATTCTTGTTGACATTTATAATAACGACAACTTAAAGCTATTTATTATTAAAATGATTGAATAACAGAAAATATGTTTCCTCTGGTTAAACAAAACTCAAACTTCGGGAACCAATGCTTGAAGTTGCTCATTGATGGTATTACTAATATGGTTGAAAAACAGTCAGGAATTATTACGATAAAAAAAATCAGTACTTACTCTCACAGCTGTGGAATGTTTAAGTTGATATCACCCCCTATGTGCTTACGATAAGCCCTACGTAAAGTCAGAGGTCAAGCTAATTTGTATCAATGTGCTTGGAATTAATGTGAGCCACTTTTATTATTTGTTCCTTTTACAAGGCAGCTTAACTACCGTTTACACAAAGAAGTTTTCAATTTGTATTAAATGGACACATTGCATGAAGCAATACACAGCACAGTGCTTGGTCTTTATGTCACATCACCAGACACTGTGGGACACCACAGAAAATCTGAGTTCACTTCACTTACACCCATCTGCATGGATGAACAACAAAATGAATTTGGATAGAATTACATTAAAACCACCTCAGGAAATGGTATGTTTTTTAAACTCGGATTTAATCAGAATTAAGCACCATTTACACAGTGCATTTAAATTGGAATTAAGGGCTGATTTTGATCAAATTAGAATTAAGAAGCCCCATGTAAACAACGCTTTGTATCAAGCTGTGTCATGTCATTGATTAACTCGATGAATCTAAGGAAGTACAAGGCAATAAAAAGCCTACCACAGGAGTGTTACCAGATCCTCCTCCTTCTATGATCTCTCAGATTAATAACAAATAGCTAACATTTTGCACACGCATGGGTCTTGGTGAATCAGAACTTTAATTTGGTCATAAATCAATACCAGAGCTGTTTTATCCAAACTCTTGATTTCATTCTATATTCTCACGAATGCAGGCTTCATTCCAGCATATTATATAATAATAATAATAATCCTTGTATTTGACATCATCGAGACATCTGATAGCTCTTCATAGGTTTGTACCGTAAAGTGTAGTGACTATATTTATAAGCAACAAATACACTATTTGCCCACTATAACAACAAAGCATGTTCAGAATTGGCTTTATTGAAATGATGCCAATATAGATATTTTAAATAATAAAGAACTTTGGCTTTTGTATTTTTTTAAAAAGAGGGATGAGGGGCATTTGAACATTTGATATCTGGTGATGGAGAATAAGCGTTGATAAACCTTTAATCATGTGCTAACATGTACACCGTAAGGCAGTCAATTAATCTACTGCAACCTATCCAAGTCAGTTCCCAATCAGAGGCACAGCAAAAACTGTACAGGTTCATTCACAAGTGTGTGCTTTGATTTAATGTTCAAAATCTTTTAAAGTCTAGAGATTAACCAAGTATAAATTTCACTAAAGCAGCCACTGTCTTAGTGCACTGACTGCACATTGAGTTTAGGTGAATTTTGTTATACGTCTGTTAACTTGTATCCTACATCATTAATAAATAATCTCACCGCTTTAAGTGCCTTTTTCGTAAATTGGTCTATACTGTTTTATAAATAATACAACTTTACCTGTTATCATCCATGGCTGATATTTCATGAAATTTGCATGTAACACATGAGAGTTGCCAATGTTGTGATTTGCTGAAGGAAACTGATTATGTAGTTGTTAAAAAATGTACAACTTCCTTGTGGTGTCTTGTCATTGCCATTATTTGGTATCACAGCTGGAATATGTTAAAAGGTTCACTTAACAAGGAAAAAGGCATTTTGGTAAGTTAAGTATATTGACATAAGCATACTGACCAGATGTCAGTGTTCATAGTATAATACTTAAGGAGCTATTAAGCAAACAGCCAATATAATTAAACAAAAATAGCTGAGATCATATTTTCTTTTTGAAGCTGCATTATTAAGATGTATTTTCTGGCACAGGCACATTTACATTTACTCATACAGATAAAAACAAAATCTAGTCATGATTGCTAACATCTGTTTCTCTTTTGTAAAATAAATGATTTAATGCCATCAAGTATTTTCACAGCAGAACTAAATAGTTTCAATCCTGAGACTAAATACTGCTGTCTATTAATTGTAATACAATACGGTTTCTAAATCTAATGGGGGCAGTTTTACATTCAGCACCCATTTGAAACTTGAATTTCAAGCATATGCAACGCAGGCTTCACTTGGTATGGTTAGGTTAGATAGCTGTCACTAACACCTAGGGGTTTATTAATAGGCAGAAATTAATTGTATGTAGACTGAATTAATGAGATGGAAAAACATGCATATTTCAGCTAATGCTGAGGGGAATGGCCTCTGCTGAAGCATCCGTAATGAAGTAGTCTGTCCAAAGCAATGATGTGCAGAACAGAAGCCAGTGAATTAAAGTGCTCGGCTGATCATGTAGGTTGCAACTACTGTAAAAACCACTGTGAAATGTAAACACCAGACAATGGTTTTAAGCACAAAGTTGACCCCTGTTGCGCATCCTACAGCCTGCTATCTACAGATTTATAAATAAATGATTAGATGTAAAATCTCTGGAGATTGTTTCTTTTCCACGGCAATTACAGGAGCAGATTATTACCATTCAAGTGCAGTTCCAGTTAAAGTTCATTGACTGGCAGGAATCATTCATTTCTGTCCTTATGTCTTAAGTCTCTGTGACAGGAAAACCTACAGTTAGCATGTACTAAACAAATTGTAACAAGACTAGTCAATACAAATACCATACAGTACATACTTTCTTTTGGACAAAACACTATCAATACAGCTGAAGGACTCAATTATGTATTTTTAAATTTGTTCATTCAACTAGGATGTTAATACAAATGTCAACTTTGTAAAGATGTCCAACCTTCATATATATACAGATATACTTTTTTTTAAAAAACAAAGAAAGTACAACATTTTTGATGACATACCCTGGATTTGCATCAAAGAGCAAGACTACAAGAATCTGGTCACATTCTAATCATTTTACCATTATTTATTTTTACGTATTAATCATCCTTAGCACTGTGAGCTATCAGTATTCATTTACAACTGGTCACACGCTTAGCATCATGATTATGTTGAGCACAGCTTGTCTGTTGTGGTTAGAAATTACACTGAAAAAGGGCATGTGTACATATGTGTGTGTGATACAGTTGAGTAACAGAGAAAGAAAAAAAATGTGTATCTAAGTGTGTGTACTATACAGGGTAGATTTCTCCTCCTGGCATGACACTGCCTTTGGGAGACATTCAAAAAGCATGTTTCAAGGGGAAATGTATTTTACCAAAGGGGAGACTTATAACTGATACATCAGAAAGTCTTTTGAAAGTGATTGTGCGAGTACACACACACAAATATATATATATATACATATACACACACACACAATATTCCATCTTGGCCTGATTGCCTAACCCACGAGAGATGAAGTCACATTGGGTGTGTTTGAATTGGGTTATGGAATATTTTCCACATGCCATGGCTGCCTTTTTTTTCACATTCGGTTTATGTCATAAAAACATTCCCAAAACTGGATTATCTGTCAGTTTCAGCTGCGTAATGGGGTCAAATGGACACCACTGCTGTTTCGGGGCCAAAAGATTCTCAAGCAATAAATGCACTGTTTTATGGGGTCAATAAAGACCAAAACAGTGTTGCATATTCAATTGATTGACATGGCAACTATTGCTATTCAATGATTCACATGGCAACTTTCATACTGATTGTAAAGTTGACATTTTTAGATTGAAAAATAAATGTAAAGGTGTCCTATCCAACAATTCCAGATAAAATTGGTTATTCATTTCACAGTTGTTTGTGGGACATTACTGTGCACAAATCGACTGTTGCGTCACCTACAAAGTATATATTTTTTGGTCAGCCAGGTATCTGACACATGCGGAAACCCATCACCATGCTTAAGAGTATCCAAATGAGTTCCATGCATCCCACCTATACATGGAAATTCCAGAGATATTTTGTTAGAATGCACTCGCTCCCTGGAGGGACACATCCTGCTTACCTAATTCTGGAATTTATTAGACGTAAATTGGCAAGAGCTAAGGCTTGGGGACCCTAGAGTGCGTGCTGAGGCCCTGCTGGAGTCTAACCAGCTAAAACTGCATATCTTACCATTGAGACACTGCCTGGCAAGCTTTCCCACACTTGTCAACTTGGACCACACTAACTGTTAGGGTTTCAGCTTGCAAGGTTAACAGGAGCTGAGTGGGAAGAATCCCTGCTCTTCCAATTCCTTTCGATGAGACAGCCTGACTGTAGTGTCATCAGCAGTGGAATACTGTGGACCCACCTGGCTAGGGAACTGGACTACTGAGATCGTCAC